GGAGTTAAGAGAATGGAGGTAGTTGCCTATTCTTGAAACAAATATTCTAACATATTAGATAGCCAGATACAATATGTTATCTGGCTATCTAATATGGCATCTACCAAGTGAAATATGTGGGATCCCCAGTGCTAATCTTAGAAGTTCTGTGCATAAGGACAAGAAGTTCCAATTACAGCCCTTAATGTCATTTTAATGCTATTTTTTAAAATGTAATTATAACTCCAATTGCGTTTGAGATTTGAAGCTGACAATAGTGATACAGAAAGGAACACTGCAAAAAATAGCTTCGCTCAAACTTTATTAGCGATTAAAGAAAGAGGAGTACCCAGCCAGATTTATGCCTAATTATTTGCAACCGAAATAGGAAGCCTTTGTTTTCTGGGTGTACAGCTTGCAGAACTTTGTTTGTCTCTGTCCTGCGGCCGTTTAGCTGGTGTCATTTCAAAAAGTGGGGGGTTTTTTGTTCATCACTTTGAGCTTACGGTTTTCCTAGGCTTTTTCATTTGTAATAACTACATTTTGTTCTCAACCCAATGACTTTGGACATATGTGACACGATAGATAGATTTTGGTTATTGGAATAAGGAGATTAGGTTCTTCAAAGTTTGCTATCCTTGGGGTTTGTCTCCTATTGCATGTCTGTGAGTTTCAATGACTTGGAGGAGGAATTCTCCACTCTGGCCGGTTTAGGGTGCAGTGGCTATCATGGGCTAATACGAGAGCTTGTTTTAGATTCCAACCAAGTGTGTCCTTAAATAGCTAAACCATTATGAACTTGCTCAGGGATTCCCAAACTGCGGTCTGTGAATGAGTTTCATGCAGGTAGTCTGCAGCCAGGACCTTTCAAATATTCATAGAGGCCCAGGCCACTTCCAGGTCTTGAGGCCCTTACCCATAATAAAAGCTTAAAAATGTTACAGATAGGTAGCCATGTTGGTCTGCCACAGTCAAAACAAAAAAAATTCCTTCCAGTAGCACCTTAAAGACCAACTAAGTTAGTTCTTGGTATGAGCTTTCGTGTGCATTCTTGGTATCTGAAGAAGTGTGCATGCACACGAAAGCTCATGTTGTTTTTGTTGTTTAGTCGTTTAGTCGTGTCCGACTCTTCGTGACCCCATGGACCAGAGCACGCCAGGCACTCCTGTCTTCCACCGCCTCCCGCAGTTTGGTCCGGCTCATGTTTGTAGCTTCGAGAACACTATCCAACCATCTCATCCTCTGTCGTCCCCTTCTCCTTGTGCCCTCCATCTTTCCCAACATCAGGGTCTTTTCCAGGGAGTCTTCTCTTCTCATGAGGTGGCCAAAGTATTGGAGCCTCAACTTCACGATCTGTCCTTCCAGTGAGCACTCAGGTCTGATTTCCTTAAGAATGGATGTGTTTGATCTTCTTGCAGTCCATGGGACTCTCAAGAGTCTCCTCCAGCACCATAATTCAAAAGCATCAATTCTTCGGCGATCAGCCTTCTTTATGGTCCAGCTCTCACTTCCATACATCACTACAGGGAAAACCATGGCTTTAACTATACGGACCTTTGTTGGTAAGGTGATGTCTCTACTTTTTAAGATGTTGTCTAGATTTGCCATCGCCTTTCTCCCAAGGAGCAGGCGTCTTTTAATTTCGTGACTGCTGTCACCATCTGCAGTGATCATGGAGCCCAAGAAAATAAAATATCTCACTGCCTCCATTTCTTCCCCTTCTATTTGCCAGGAGGTGATGGGACCAGTGGCCATGATCTTCGTTTTTTTGATGTTGAGCTTCAGACCATATTTTGCGCTCTCCTCTTTCATCCTCATTAAAAGGTTCTTTAATTCCTCCTCACTTTCTGCCATCAAGGTTGTGTCATCTGCATATCTGAGGTTGTTGATATTTCTTCCGGCAATCTTAATTCCGGCTTGGGATTCATCTAGCCCAGCCTTTCGCATGATGAATTCTGCATATAAGTTAAATAAGCAGGGGGACAATATACAGCCTTGTCGTACTCCTTTCCCAATTTTGAACCAATCAGTTGTTCCATATCCAGTTCTAACTGTAGCTTCTTGTCCCACATAGAGATTTCTCAGGAGACAGATGAAGTGATCAGGCACTCCCATTTCTTTAAGAACTTGCCATAGTTTGCTGTGGTCGATACAGTCAAAGGCTTTTGCATAGTCAATGAAGCAGAAGTAGATGTCTTTCTGGAACTCTCTAGCTTTCTCCATAATCCAGCACATGTTTGCAATTTGGTCTCTGGTTCCTCTGCCTCTTCTAAATCCAGCTTGCACTTCTGGGAGTTCTCGGTCCACATACTGCTTAAGCCTGCCTTGTAGAATTTTAAGCATAACCTTGCTAGCGTGTGAAATGAGTGCAATTGTGCGGTATTTGGAGCATTCTTTGGCACTTCCCTTCTTTGGGATTGGGATGTAGACTGATCTTCTCCAATCTTCTGGCCACTGCTGAGTTTTCCAAATTTGTTGGCATATTGAGTGTAGCACCTGAAAGCTCATACCAAGAACTAACTTAGTTGGTCTTTAAGGTGCTACTGGAAGGAATTTTTTTAGCTTAAAAATGGTGAGACATAAGTAACTGAAAGCTGCTCCCTTGCTTGCCCCAAGCTCAGAGCAAGAAATAAAAACGATAGGCATGTGTTCTAGTCTGAAAACTAAATGCCCAGATCAAATGGGATAACTTTGCACGGTAGAAAGGGCTCAGATCCTCAAACATTTAGGTTGCAATTGGGACCCCACTTTGCTGGGAATTAGCCACAGTGAATTCAATAGAACTTCCCTCAAAGAGGACATGGTTAGGCTTACACCATAAATTGCTGTGCAAATGGCATTTTTAAAGCATGGCTTGTGGAGACAGGGCTATTTAAAAAGGAGAATTAAAGGAAAATTCTACTACCTAGTGGTATGGGATTATGATTTCCATGCATAGCACACACTGCTGTAACACACCTGTACACTTTCCTCGTGGGCATATACATGCTGTCTTGCTTAAAGCCACATTCCATGACATTTAGAAGCCTACGCAGAGTGGGAGAACATCCCCAGAACTAGGACTTTGGCAGCACTAATGCAGAGGAGTGTTATAGTCAAGCTTCACACCAGAGGCGTCTTGAAAGAGGCCAACAAAGCTTTGTGAGAGATATTTTTAAAAAAAGAAAAGAGAAGAAGCCACAGAATCACAAACCCAGCACAATGAGCCTCAGCTCACATCCTTCTTAGTACACAAACAAGCCACTTTGTTATTGATTGATTTCTTGTATTTATATCCTACTGGTGGTTTACATGGTTTTCCCCCTCCTCGCTTAATCCCCACAATGACCCTGTGGGGTAGTTTAGTTTGAGAGACAGTGGCCAATTTCCAAGGTCACCCATGGCCAAGTAGGGATTTGAACCCTGGCCTTTCCCAGGTCCTAGTCTTCTTTTGCACTATTAATTAAGGCGCAGAAGCTTCATTCTCCATATTATGATGCAGAGGAATCAGCTATTTAGAGTAGTGCTGAAATACTTGTAAATGTTGCTTTTCTTCATTTGGTGACATATCTCCAAGCAGATCACAGGGATGTCATTCCACAGTCGTTTGCAGATTTTCTCCAGTGAATACTTCTTGATTTTGTTGAAATGTTACAATTCATTGTGTTATGATTGGCTGTGAATGGCGTGGAGCTGTGTTCCGATTGGATGTGTTGCGTCGCTAACCAATGATTGTGCAAAGAGCAAGTTGAATGACAACGTGAGTATACAATTCAAATTTTCTGCTGTGTCGGTCAGTTAGTCATCCAATTAGGAGTACAAACAATAGCACATAGCTCTTAGAAGTAACCAACACAGCACAAATTCTCAATTGTATATTCATATTCACACACACACACACACACAAACACACACATTTTGATCCGTTCTGTCAAGTGTTGCTGCTGCTGTTGTTTTGTTCCTTGACTGGATGGCTCATATAATTAACTAAGATTGTGAACTGCAGATTGCAATGCAACACACAGTTTGAAATTTGCTCTCAGCAAATCTTCAAGAATGTGACCTTAAAATCTATTATGAAAAAGGAAACCTCGTGTACTACACAGATTAGTAAAAGGTACTTTGGCAGTTCATGAAATAGGTTCTGGATTGTCCACAAACAATATTTTGCGGGGCAACATTGAAATAATGTACACTGACTTTAGTAGAGGTAATGTGGCAAAACTTCTCATGGTGTGTTTGATTCTGCATTTTCCGCATTAGCAGTGATGGGTGTGGGTGTGAATAATATTTAATCAATTGCAAATGTAAAGCAGGGCCATTTTTGCCTTTTAAATAATTCTAGGACGGCATCCCAGTATATCAGTAGTGGATAATATTTCTAACCCAGGCCCCATCTACACTATACTTATTTAAAGCAGTATCATGCCACTTTAAACAGTAATCCCAAATAATCCCAGGAGCCATAATCTGTTAAGGCTGTTGTGAATTGTTAGGAAAGTTCCCTTCTTCTCTCACAGAGGTACAATTCCTAGAGTTCTCTAACAGCTGTCAGCAACCTTAACCAACTACACTTCCCAGGATTCTTTGAGGGAAGCAGTGCCTGTTTAAAGTGGCACAATACTGCTTTAAATGTATTTTGTGGAGGGGGTCCTAATGCTTCCTATTCAGCTGTTTTGACTGGCTTGTGTACATTACAGATGTCTTCACAAAATGGCAGGGGCAAGCTACAACTAGTAGATGTTTGGGACTGCAGATAGTTGTAGGGTGGGACTGTCATAGCCCACCCCCACCCCCCGGCCTTATGTTGTACAGACCTGATGGTGATGGACCAAAACAAAGATCCGAGGCAAATGTTTCTTTTGTTGTGCTCAGTGTTCATTGTCATAAAAAGCCCTAGTTTCATTTGAAAGTATGGAAAGTCATATGATCAGAAAACAGTTACCATCACAGTGGAACTGTTATCAGGTTCTTAAGTGAGCAACAGTTGCCGCCTCTGTTTATATGGCTTATTCTACTTCATTATTTTCCTGTTTTCACAGATGGGAAAACTGAGGCAGAGTGATTAAGCAACCTGCTTTAAGTTCTTGTCTGAACCAGGATTTTCATAGATCACATCTTTCCTCCTGATCATGTGTACAGACTACTAAGACCACAACTTTCTATATGCCCCAGGTAAGACAATATTGCACTGTGTTTCACTAGTGTAGTCTGATGTGTTCTTAGCCTATTAGGTTGATGGGGGCCCGCATTAATTCTGAGTTTGGAAAAGTGTAAATAGAAATAAATATTTCCATAAGTACAATGATTCCTCTGCTTGGTTAAAAGAGAACAAAACAAGCTTTCTTATGCAGATACTGCCTTTTAAAAGGCTGCAAACAGGAAAAAACGTGATCCATGAAAGCAGTATCCTTCCTCTTCCTATTGGAAGACAAAAAAAATAATAATTTTGTGGCCAGACAGGTCTTATGACATAAGAAGATTCTACCACATAAACTCTTCTTTTGGTACACAATGGATGCACATTTTGTGGTACATGAAATCTGGAGGAAACCCTGTGAAAACCACTCCATTATTATGAGCTTGATATTGAAACAAACTAGTCCCCACTTCCAAGTAAGTTGCAGTGAGGAGCATCTGGAAATGAAATGGCACACATTAAGTAAGATGTAGGGTGGGTGTGAGAGAGAATGAGAGTGTCTGATACATGAATTGCTTACATTGGAGGCAGTGGAAGTCCTGGTTTTAATGAAAAGTCATCATGGTACAGTTTTGAAGGCATAAGCAAGCACATGGATATACTTGCTAGATTGATGAGCTCTATATGTTTACAGTGATGTACCTGTATATTTTAATCAGTCAGTCTATTGAATACATGGAGGGGGAGCAGACTTCTGCACACAATTCTGTATCCCTCTTTCCAAATCCAGTGTAACATATGAAAAGGGTTTTAGAGATTACATAGAATGTGTTCATATCCCATAGGGAAGTATAAACAATGCCTTTCCATGCACAAATGAAATGGTACCTGCTCCCACCTTCTTGCTCCTCGCAGCACCTTTTAGCTCATGCTAAACCTAACCATGGTTCCTGGCTTAGTGATAGGTTCATGCCAGAGACCATAGTGTATTTTGCCCCATAAAACCAGTGTCAGTGAATCAAGAACAAACCTTGGCTATAGTTTGTGGTTTGTTGGGAGCAAAGCAAACCACAAACCCAGTTCAGATGTCATGTTAAGCTGGGGATCATGTTTGTTTTCCTCTCGGCATGAGCCATCAGGATCCAGGAAGAGTGGGGAGAATTGAAATGGATGCTATGGATGCTCACTCCTGCATTTTTAGCCATTGTTTATGTCCAGACATGGCCATTATCTTATGGGGTAGGGAGAATGCTTCTTTTCCATAATTCACTCTGACCTTCTTCAAAGTTAGTGAAGAGGCCCTAAGTTAATGTGACTACTTTGGAACTGAGAAGTACGGCTCAAGTATCCTCATGTCTCCACTGCCAGGAGACCCGGAGGCAAACCAACAGGCTTTAAAGGGCCATGAGGAACCCCATTGGTCCTTTGCATCACCTGACTCCTGATGGTGTTGTAGCTTTTTGACCACCTGCAGTAGGGCAACAGAGGAACTGCTCAGCAATGCTCTCTTCTGACAGATGGCAGCGGTGCAGAAAGTCAGGTGTCTGGGTCCAGCTTCTAGAGTCCCAGGTTTGAAATCAGAGCTCCTTATAGCCCTACAGTTGCAACATACTTGCTTGGCAAACCAGTCCTAAATGTTTGCACAGGCATAGTAGCCTGCCATGCTGAGTAATGTCGCTGAAACAGTGTCATGGTCTGTGATTCTGGCACAGCAGCCAGCCCCTTCCAACCTATGGATTTATTCCCTAGCACAGCAAGCCTTAGGATCGGGCCATTAGATAATCAATTTCTCTGCCTGAAACTATTTAAGCATCACATTTGCTTCTAACAACTCCCTGTAGAAAAGTTTAATACGCTATGTGGATTCCCTTAGTCTTTGGGATCAGTGGAAAACTCCTCAGGATTTCTATATTAATATTCCCTTCGACTCAAATAAGGGCTTTCAAAGTGAGCCTGGGAGTTGTTACTACCCTCCCCTCCCCTCCCCACCTTCAGTTTACTGTCTATTTTTAACCCTGTACATACAGCACAAAGTAGTTTTGGTTTGGTTATGGCAACACAGGTATACTGCCACAAAGGAGTTGACCACAATTACTTAAATCACACCTTTGTGCAAAGGCTTATCCTTTCAACAGACAACCTGAAACTATTGACATGTAATATATGCTGTGTTGTACCCTTAATTCCTTCTGAGATGTATCAGGGTGACACAAGAGAAAAGGGGAGAAAAACTCAAGCATTAAAGTCCTCCTCTTTGTTTTCTCTCTCTCTGTGACCCCAGCAATCTCTTTAGCAAGCCATGGTTCAGTAAACTGGCACACAGCAGCAGTTCTGCAGTGGAAAAATCATAAACCAGATGGAAGCTTAACATTTTTGTTTAGTTTTTAAGAGCAGTTTTTATAACATCGCTTAACATCATTCTGATGCATCATACTGTTTACACTTAAGAGTTTGTAGCTAAGATGTTTACACTACAGAGAATGTTTTAAGATATTTTATAGTTATGATATTTAGATAATTGGCAAGAAAAAAGATAGTTTGTTGAGATTACAGTGATGTTGGTAACCGTGAAGTAACTTATGAGACTCAATAAATATGTCCAGTTTGGTGGAAAGTACAAACTAAGTTAAAACAAAACAACACAAGAGAGAATGTCTTTTTAGTGAAATCATTTCCTTTTCTTAATCAAAAGATGACAACCACAGCTTTAGAACTCCCATCTGTAACACACCACTCCACATATCTGTGAATCTACTGTGGGTATACATACAAAATGATACAATTAAATCAGTTGCTAAAATGTTTTTAAAAAATAAAAAAAAAATCTTATGTGAATTGTGTGCAACAGTGGACAAAGTTCATGCTCTGTGGAATACCTAGTGATCAAAAGTCAGCCCTGCTTAACTTCTGCTTAAGGTCTTCATTTTCATATGAATGCAGCTCTGATGTTTTAATGAAGAATGTGTTTCTTCTAAGCATCTGGTCTTTGGAACATTTTTTTCCAAAAGACGTATTAATCAAAAACAATAACTTCTTTTAACTTTTGCAAAGTGCTCTAAAAGAATGAAATAATCTGTGTGTGGGCTTCAAATGTTGGGAATGCAAACATTTCACAATAAACATGTGTAAATGAAAGTACTTGGCCAGATATGCTGAAAGATAGTACATGTTGGGTTAATTAATGCATACTCTATTAAAATAAACCTTGCTTTCAAGATCTGACCAATAAAAATCATTAGTATATTTGGATCAGATGTGCTGATGGATTATTTTTACGTATATGTTAAACTTTTGCAGAAAGGATTGTCCTTGAAAAACCTAAAAACAGATTTGAAATTAAAGTCAAAACCTTCCATTATTTCTCTGTCCTCTTTGTGTTTTCAATATAGCAATATGATGAATTATTCCAGCTTTATCTGCTCTACCTGCAATTGATTTACTATTGATAGCCTTAAATTTATCATTTTAAATGTGCAAATCACAGTTATGCAGCCGGTGAGTTGTATAGTTTCAAAGACATTGTTCTCCTCCAGAATGTAGTATCTGATTCTAACTATAATCAAATTACTCTACCGCTTTATTTTTAATCAAAAAAGTGTTTATCTTTCCTGATCTTGAATTGGAACCATTTTAGCGGTAATCTAATGTTTTTTAAAAAAGGAAAAAATGTAGCATGCTGGTTGTGAAATCGTCCATGTAACCAAGCATTTATTTTATTTACACACATTTTTCTTGCTGCCATCTAATTCATCTAGTTTTAACTGATCTGTGTAAAAATGGGGAGCTTGGTTTGCGCAACTTGCTGTGCCTGCACCATCACCCAGAACGAGCTGAAAGTCACAAAGTGTTCAAACAAAGGCATCAGAATCTAAGGCCAGTGTAATTTGTCCCAACAGCAATGACAAGGCGTATTGCTTTCAAGAGCAGTTTACTCAGATGAGTAAAACTGCAGGCAGCTGGAGTACAGATTTGATTTGTACTTGACCTGTCCTTTAAAAACAAGCTCCCTCTTACATTCTTAAAGTGGCAGCAAAAAGAAGCTTATTTGACGCAAGGAAGAGAACATGACCCGGTGGGTTGGTTTTGGGAGGGACGTGAGAAATAGACTTCAGGGGTTGGGAGGACAAAGAGTGAATAAATAAGATAATTATCATAACCCTGGTCACACAGATTCTCAATTGGTAATCCCAACTACTCAAGCAGTCCAAGAAGAGTTTCTGTCATAAAGGCACCTAGTCTCCTTTAAAACATCCTGCTTTGTAGCACCTGTTAGAAGCTGTATAAGCTCATTTTGGATAGCTTTTCCTAGGAAGTGAGCCATTGTTTCTTGATCTGCGCAAATGTTCATTCATTATATGGTCGAAAAGGGCTAGATATTTTACAAACTGAAAAACGAATCCATTGCTAGCATTGTACAACTTTTGAGTTGTAACACAGAATGCCAAGTTTTGCATGCCAAGAACTCTCAGCAAAGCAATCAAGCATTCCAAGATTTGTCACTAATATTGTTCTTCTTGCCTAATTTTCTGCTGGTTAATACCATCAATTGTTTTTCCTTTAGATAAGCACAATTCAAGTTTCTCCCCAAATCTGATAGTTTTCTAAATGGTCAGTATTCCTCTCCCGTGAAGACAGCATTGCTCCAATGTTCTTCCACTCCTTTGAACCTGTTTCTTTGAACCTGTGTTGATGCAGCTTTTAGTTGTTGTTGAACAACTTGCAGCAAAAAAACCAAAAAACCCAACCCACGTATTTTGAGCTTGAATATATCAACAATTGATGACACATTTCTTCACCTCTCCACTTATGAACCAAACCTGGACCCTGCAATCATCATCTGAAGTGCTTCCTCATTTGTCTCCTCCACAAGAGGTCCAGAAGGTGGCAATATGAGAATGGGTCTTTTCTGTGTTGGTTTGCTGGGCACCTTCATTACATATCTTTAGGCACCAGGTGAAAACCATTTTTCTGTAACTAGGTCAGTTGATTTACATTCTATGGCCTTTTAAATGCATTTTGGGGGGGCACTATTTGT